ATGAGCTCCGATCTGTTCGAACCGCCTTCAAATCGACCAGTTTTTTGAAGGTTCAACCGGTTTTAGGTTCGACTTGCAATAAGTAAATTGAGGTCGAGATTATATTATAATTATTCAAAGATTGGGATAAAATTGCCAAACGCAAAAAGGTTAATGTTTATTTAGCAATTAACCCATAAGAGAAAGACCAAAAATCAGTTTTTTGACTTGTGAGAACATTCAAAAGTTTTTTTTAGTCCGTCACAGTATCCGAAGCTTTGCCCCGACTACTCCGTTGGTCGACCCGGGTCGCACACATGACAATGGTAGTTGAGTCTTCCAACAAGAGTTTTCTGCATTCACAATGACTCGAACTCGAAATCTTGCTTAATAGAGATCAAACTATTTAAGACTTGAGTCAACTCAACTATCAACTCAAATATGTATTAATCAAAACACCCTTAATGATGTGAAATGATAATGTTTGGTGTGGGCATAGTTTTTTCTCAATAAAAAAATAGCCCTTAGCAAAAGGGCCAAAAAATGAAAGCCCCCACAATGATATAAGTATCTAATTGCAATAAAACAAGGGCAATAAATCAAACAATCTTAATAATTGGGGAGATTAATTAGCACTATGTTTGTACTTTGAAGACCTTAAGTCAAGATACATTCATCCACAACGTGTACGTTTCATGTATCTTTAATTAATAATATTGCGAATATTCAAGATGCTATATAATATATGGTGATGGTTGGGACATTATTAATTTTTGTCCTTATCAATAGTAGATTTTAATGACAAAATAATTCGATATCTTATCAAAAAGTTATACAATAAAGTATAAATGGACATGCTTTGGCCAAATATACCTTAGCTCTACCCATTATGGTGTTGCAGGAAATAAAACTTAAGACAAAACATACCATTATTAAACGAAACAAGTTGTTTGTGAGCTTAACTCCATTTGAACTCGACTCACTTAGTTTCATAAATTAATTGAGCTAGAACTCCATTAGCTAACAAGTTAATAAGGCTAGAAAATCGAAATAGTTAGATAACTTTCATGGCTCGAGTTCATTTGATAAACGAGCCGAATTCAATTCGAACTCGGTTTATTAACAAACCTAGCCAATAGAAGTTTTACTTCAAACTTACTCTATGGATATTTAAATATATATTAAAATACCTGTATTCACTACATTGGCAGTAGCAGTATACAGCATGGAATAACCAATAAATAAAAGGAGATTTTGTGGGCCTTCTTGGGCTACCGAAAGTTTAATGGGCTTTCTCTGCAAGGCTCTGATATATTGGGTTAATGTAAAGCCAGAAAAAAGTAGAGCCCACTTTACAGCATGTAAAGGAAACCACAAATGCTCAGAAAAATGGCGACTTGGAATTTGGAGACGCCTGCGTCGTCGTCTTTGTCATCAGCTCGTTTCAATCACACCCCTTATTACTGGTAATTTTAATTATTTATTTTCATTTTGTTGCTGTTTAGGCTAATCTGCAAATTTTTGTTTATGAATTTGTCTGAGCTTAATCATCGGCGTTGGGAAGAAAACTTGAGAATGCAAGTTATTTGGTTTTGATTGTAATGTTACAGTTCCGATGGATCGACTTCTAATTCACCCCTTTAACCTCTAATTTTACCCCAAAATTAGCAGCTCATAATTTTGATAATAATGTTAACAGTCATAATTTTAGCAGCTCACTGTTTCTTGATCTATTTTGGTTTTTAGGACTCCCTTATTCAATCTTATTTAGCATTTTCCTCTAATTTGAATTTATAAATTTAACAACCTGTTTTTTGTTTTTTTTTTTTTTTTTTTTTTTTTTTTTTTTTTTTTTT